TTATTATCAGCATTTGCTTTTTTCTACGTACGTTTATACACAATGTGGTCCGAAAGTCTTGTCAACCCACTAAAATGTAATGAGAACAAAAGAAGAACAAGTAATACAGTAATACAAAGTCCATGTACTGGATTCAGTTTATTCTCTTTCATTGACGCCGTGACACATCTAGAAGGTCTGTATGAACGCCATCAAATCCCGTATCAGAACATCCGAAATAAAAAATTGTTAGGAGTAAGTTTCACTCAGCTTTTTCTAAAGAACAACTGCTTTATAGAAGACGTTCTCAGATGGTTGCTTCCTTGGACATTTCAATCTTAACATGTTTAATTCTATGTTAATCATTTCAATCTTAACATGTTTAATTCTATGTTGGTTTTATTTCCGACGAAACCAATTAGGTATACCGGTTGTAACAGCAAATTTGTCCAAATTATGTAACAGCAAAATTGTCCAATTTATGTAACAGCAAAATTGTCCAATTGTTAAATTAGGATTTGACCCGTTGCATTTTAGAAAGGATTAAAGATATCTTATTCCGAGGTTTTTTTTATCACACTATTGGACTCTACTTTGAGCAATATTAATGTATAATTACTCTCCAAGCTGATGAATTCATTAATTAATCATAATTAAAGATCAGAATCTCATGAAGGAGTGAAATTAAGTTCATATATATATATATATATATATATATATATATATATATATATATATATATATTGTGAGTGAAATTGGGTAGACGGAACGCTTGAGGCGCGTCGATAGCTGTGCTAGCGCATACCTACAAGTCATCGTGGCCGAAGGCTTAAGCGTGCTGGCTTCGATCAAATTGTCACTGCATCCAGTATATGTGTTTTGCATTACTGGTTCTTCTACTGTTCGCATTAATTTTTTGGTAGCAGGTGACAATATTTTCGGATCACCCTGTATATTGTTTGCATAGAAATATCTTGCCCTGTTCTTTCTTCTTCCTTTTCTTGTTGTTTATTCAGACAATTCTATAATCAACCATTAGCAATATATTTACGTTATACATACAGGTTGGTCCGAAAGTCTTGTCATCCCTGAATAATAAAATTTTCTATTTCAGATGGCTGACACAAGGTCCTTTGTAAGAGATATTCTCGATGTGTCACGGCGTTAATGAAAGAAAATAAACTGAATCTAGTACATGGGCTTTGTATTAATGTATTACTTGTTGTTCTATTGTGCTTATTAATTTTTAGTAGGGGTGACAAGACTTTCGGACCAACCTCGACAATTGGTTAAGATTGTAATGTTTAGGGAAGTATCCACGTGAAAGTGTCTTCCATAATGCAGTTGTTCTTTAGAAAAAATCTGAGTGATAATTCCTCCTTATAATTTTCTATTTCAGATGTTCTGACACAAAAATGATGGTGTTCCTATCGACTTTCTCGATGTGTGACAGCGTCAATGAAAGTGAATAAATTGAATCCAGTAGATGTGCTTTGTATTTCTGTACTTACTTGTTCTGTTTTTCTCATTACATTTTAACACGATGGTCCGAAAGTCTTGTCAGGCCTATCAAAAAGTATTGAGAACTATAGTAGAACAAGTAATACAGTAATACAAAACATGTGTACTGGATTCCGTTTATTCACTTTCATTGACGCTGTCATACATCGAAAAGGTCTGTAATGAATGCCATCATTTTCGTGTCAGAACATCTGAAATAGAAAATTATATTACGTAAAGGTGACAAGACATTCGGACCACCCTGTAGATTCACTCAGGAGTTAAAGTTGGTTCTAAAAATGGACATTATTTTCCGAACAAATTAATAAAAATATGTTTAATTAAACAATAAGTACTCATTTCAAAATGCAGACATGAAAACAAATTTTTACTATATCACTTAAAATTCTTAAACCAAATACAGTGTAACCCGGATATAAGAGACCCGGATATAAGAGACCCGGATATAAGAGAAAACCGGATTTAAGAGAGATTTTCTCTGGTCCCAAATTAGAGCTTGTGTTAATGTATATAAAATAGACCAAACCCGGATATAAGAGAAACCCTGATATAAGAGACTTCTTCTCCGGTCCCGACAACTCTCTTATATCCGGGTTACACTGTACATTGTAAAGCATCACCACGTACACTAAAAATATATACAGTGCATACAGCGTAGATAAGGTAACGTACTTTATACCAAGCCTATAGACTAAATTAAACAAATAAGAAAACCAACTCCCGAAACATAAAACAACATAAAGAAAACCTTAAATAAATAAACAAATTAACAAGCTAGGAACGCCGCCGGCTTGGGTTTTAGAATACGTCGCCTGCATCTGGTATGACGATTAACTACATCTGGTAGCAAGGTCTCTGATTAGGAGGTTATGAGGAGCGTGGAACCATCTCTTAATTGCTAGTGTTCTCAGGTTCACCATGACCTGAGATTCACTGAGGGTCCAATGCCTTAAAGAAATACAAATAATTGTCCTCAAAAGTACAGCCCAGACATTACGAAGGGCTTCATCTATGTAAAATATTTGTGTCACTTTCGTCTTTTTATTGCACAATGGAAAATGTCATGATGCCATTTCTGACCTTCTGAATTTTTCGTAACTTATATATATATATATATATATATATATATATATATAGATATATATATATATATAGATAGATAGATAGATATATATGACATTATCATTGAAAGACGAATGGAAATCAGCATATTGATACATGTTTAAATCCTATCTAAGCTTTCGGCTTACATAAGCCATTATCAAAGATGACAATTACATTTCAATATATTAAACGATACACGGACGAAATAATAATGATACATAAAACAGTTGAAACCTAATCTGAACAAAATAAACGAGATAAAGAAATCTCCCCAAATATTCTTAAATGCCTATAATTGATAACAGAAGCCATTGGTTTATACCAAAGGCTCTCTATACTTAATACTTCTCGTTTTCACTCTCGCGTGGTCATGTGTGACGTGACGATCTGCGATGCGATTTTCGCTTCCGCGTTTCGTATACACGAGTTTGTCGTTGCTTTGAAATTTTTCATACAGAAAAAACAGACTATCATTATCGTTTCGTCCGTCTATTGTTTGATATATTGAAATGTAATTGTCATCTTTGCTAATGGCTTATGTAAGCCGAAAGCTTAGATAGGATTTAAACATGTATCAAAATGCTGGTTTCCTTTCGTCATTCAATGATAATGTTATTAAGCTTATCAGACAATATGAAAGGAACTTACTTAAAATAAATAGACAAATCTTGTCTATATTATTTAATGAAACATGCATCAATGAAAAATTGCTGCCTATATATATATATATATATATATATAGTGCTGTTCGATAAAAGTGACTCACATTATCCTTTGAATTTAGCTTAACTTTCGTTTCATCGGAGAAGAGAACATTCTTCCAGTCTTCTGCGGTGAAACTTTTGGAATAGTGAGCCCATTCAAGTCTCTTGGCTTTGTTGGCTTTTCTTATTAGCGGCTTAAACCTTCGTGTACAAGAAGTGTTGCCTTGTTCTAACAGCCACCGACGGACTGTTGAAGAGGCAAGACTAACACCTTGCTCTTCGCTTAGACTGGCTGCAATTTCTTGGCTAGTTATAGTCCTATTCTTCGCAACTTCTTTCTTGATTACCCTGCCAGTTCTATCATCAATCTTTTTCTGTCGTCCCCTTGTTTCCTTCCTTGAAGCAGGAGTGGCATCATTATGTGCCCTAAGCACTCGAGAGACAGTTGATTGCGAGGTTATAGCAATTTCTGCAATTTCTCTCGTAGACTTGACTGCTTTTGAGAGGGCAATAATAGATGCCTTAAGTGGTTCTTATGCGTGTTTGTACCCTTTCATCTGGTTAGTGACTTGAGTGGCTATTTCAAGCTGTTTTTATACTGTATGAGGCTTTCTGCAATATTCTGGAATACTCTAGATTTAATTTAACCTGTTCTAGAATTCTCTAGAATATTGTTCTGAGTGTATTTTAAAATAGTTTTCAATATTTTCTCACAAGCTCTTTAAATTTACAAGTTTAATCATTAGAATGCGATATCTGAGTCACTGTATTTTTGCACAGAGTTTTTTTTTTCCTGAATCTCATTTATATCCAAATTTATAATTATCAATAGAATACCTTAGGGTGAATAAACTTTTTTCCTAGGTGGTCGGGAAGGGGTCTTTATATTAGTAAGATTAAAAATTATTTTAACCCTAAAAACAATAGACAAAAAATCAAAAAAAATCAGGTCAGTCACTTTTTTTCGAACAGCACTATATATATATATATATATATATATATATATATATATATATATATATATATATATATAGTTGATGAATCCGTATGGGTAAACCTAAGGAGGATAAAATCCAGAGAGCTCAATGTAAATTCAGAGCAAATAATTTAAATAAGATTCCATGTAATAAATTATTTCACCACAGCCCTTTTAAAAGGACTGCGGATCATCAGACTTTACTTCCAAACAAAAAATGAAAATTTACACATTTTTGACGGGCCGTTTTAAACATATGTAAATTAACGAAGTGAGGAAGTAAGTGGAGAGAGAGAAGACATGAGTGAGTTAGCAGATATTGATACATTTAAACCGTTAACTTAACGGAAGTTATATATTGATATCGAAGGGGTAGAGAGAAAATAAGGGAAGGAAGTTAAGAGAGAAGAAGATGTCACTAATTTTCTTTGGAAAAAAAAAAGGCTAGAAACAGACGCTGTTATTTTGTTTTACTTTGAAAGTGTTATGTTGGGGGTTCATAATGATTATTACATGGAACCTTAAAATGGTCTGTTTTTATTTAAAATTTATTTTAAAAAATATATATATATATATATATATATATATATATATAGAGAGAGAGAGAGAGAGAGAGAGAGATGTGTGTGTGTGTGTGTGCGTGCGTGTGTGTAGTGAGTGGTAGATATTTTTCACCTTTAAAGCTAACGTTTACTTCGAGATTTAACCATCACATTATGCACAGATATGTTCCCCAGTTCACAAATTTAATCGCAAATAAAAACTCGACATCTACAGGATGTTATACGCTATTCCATTCTGCCGTTTCTCCTGACGTAAATTCGAAAGAATCACAAAGAAAACATCATGATGGAAAGAATTCTTTCTGCCGAAAAACATCGAAAACGTGAAAGATCTTCCTTTCAACAAATAAAGGGTGATAAAAAGTCAACATGGAAGTGAAATTCGTGAGAGTGGCAGAGACATTTAAATATCTCTTTTGGCAAGAGACAGCATTTGAATAATTCATGGCATTTGTGTAACTTGAAGCTGAACAAGTCCCTTAGCTTCCCCACCTGGGAGGAATTTTAATTTTTGCCTTAGCATCTAGAAAAGTTAACTCGCGCCATTGTGAATAGCTGACAGTTTGATTTTTGTTTTTTTATATCGTCTGTTCCAAGTCTGGGCAAATGTGCATCAGGACTTATGCATATATTGAATGAATTGGAGATACTTTTAAAACTTGAGATGACATGTTGAATGTCTATTAAGGTGTCATTTGCTTTAAAATCCCTTTCTCTCTCCGTGTATTCGTTTTATTTTTGTTTTTTATGCTTCTTTTAACAACAAAACGCGCGATAAAGTCAGTTTTTCTAAATTTTATATTGTCTGATTAATCATAATTCTTAAGTTAATGATAGAACACGTTCCTTTTTAGCGATTTACCAAGCTTAGTATAAATCTTGCACAAGACTGATAGTATAGGAACGCCACGTCAAAGTGCACTAAAGCTATTTACTAAAAAAAGCTTAGATATGGCACAAGGCCAAAAATATAGGGCACCTAGTAAGAATCGAGCTCACTACTCAGGCGAAACAAGCTTGCTAGCCACTAACACAACGCTAAAGTGCCCTGTAGCGAACCTAGCTTAGTTGTAGCACAAGGCAGAAAATATAGAGCACCCAATTAGAATCGAGCTCACTATTCAGTCGTTATTCATCTATTGAGACAAGCTTGCTAGCCATTACACAACTTTTAAGTAACTTGTAGCGAATCTAGCTAAGTTGTGGAAAAAGACCTTAGGTCAGAGCACCCAGTCAGGATCGAACTTAACACTCAGTCATAATGATCTAGCGAGACAAGCATACTAACAATTACACTACATCGAAGTGCCTTATAGCGATTTACTAAGTGTATCTTAGATGTGGCACAAGGTCGAAAGTATGGCGGATCCGATGAGGATATACGGTCCTTTTTAATATGAATATTTTAACTCTAAATATAAAGCAATTTATAATTTAATCAGACCACCGGATCTCGGTAACTTTTAATTAAATATAAATTTACGCAAAAAAAAAAAAAAATCTATGGGAGATAACTCCAGGTTTATTAAGTACTAATTACAGAATTAATTCGCAAAATTTACTTTCTTCTCGATCAGACTTACTAGTGACAATATATAAATATTAATTAATTATAATTAGCTTTTGCAAATAATTATAAATTAGCAGTAAAAATTTGATCGTTTTTCTATATTTTGAATTTTCTAATGGGATTTAATTCTTAAGATAAGTTTAAATATGTTGCTTGCAATTTCCACGTGAAGATTCCCTATTTGTATCTTTAAATGTTTGAGTTTAATATACTGCAATAAGAATTATAATAATTACTTGTATGAGGGTACAAATGCAAAGAATCAAAATTGGATATTTTTATGGTATAATTACGTACATTTGTAAGGCTTTACTCCAAATAACAAACTCATTCTTTCAAAAGTTTAACGTTCACAAGATAAATCTTAAATATATGTTTATATATAAAATCAAAATATATACAAATTCACACCAAGCAAACAATTCTTTAACAATTCTTTACAATAGTTTCTTTTGTCTCTTTCTTTTTCTTTCTGTCTTCGCTTTTCTAATATTCTTACTAATTTTTTTTTCTTTCTTTCTTTTTTTTTTATTTTCTCCCCATTTTTTCTTTCTTTCATCATTTTTGTTTTTTTTCCTTTCTGTCTTCTTTTCTTCATCGATCTTTTTTCTTTCTTTTTTCTTTTATATCTTTTTTCTTTTCTTTCTTTCTTTCTTTCTTTTCCGTTTTATTCCATTATTTATTTTCCTTTCTTTCCTTTTTCCGTTTTTCGATTTTTCTTTCTTTTTTTTTCTTTCTTTTTACTTCCTTTCTTCTTTCTTTCTTTCTTTCTTTCTCTCTTTCTGTCTGTCTATCTTTCTTACTTTCTTTCATCATTCTTTGTTTTTTTCCTTTCTGCCTTCCTTCCTTCATCGATCTTTCTTTCTTTTTCTTTCATCAATCTTTCTTTCTTTCTTTCTTTCTTTCTTTCTTTCTTTCTTTCTTTGCTTTTCTGTTTTATTCCATTATTTATTTTCCTTTCTTTCACTTTTTTCCATTCCTTTCGATTTTCCCGTTTCTTTCTTTTTTCTTTCTTTATACTTTTTATCTTTTTCTTCCTTTCTTTCTTTTTTCTTTCTTTCTTTCTTTCTTTCTTTCTTTTCATCTTTCTTTCTATTTTTTTCTTTCATCATTCTTTGTTTGTTTCTTTCCTTTCTTTTCCTTCCTTCATCGATCTTTCTTTTCTTTTTCTTTCATCAATCTTTTCTTTCTTTCTTTCTTTCTTTCTTTCTTTTGCTTTTCTTTTTATTCCATTATTTATTTTCCTTTCTTTCCTTTTTCCGTTCCTTTCTTTTTTCCTTTTCTTTCTTTTTTTCTTTCTTTTTACTTCCTTTCTTCTTTCTTTCTTTCTTTCTTTCTTTTCTTTCATCTTTCTTTCTTTTTCTTTTTCTTTTCATCATTCTTTGTTTGTTTCTTTTCCTTTCTGCTTTCCTTCCTTCATCTTTTCTTTCTTTTTCTTTCTTTTTCTTTCTTTCTTTCTTTCTTTCTTTCTTTGCTTTTCTGTTTTATTCCATTATTTATTTTCCTTTCTTTCACTTTTTTCCATTCCTTTCGATTTTCCCGTTTCTTTCTTTTTTTCTTTCTTTATACTTCTTTTCTTCTTTCTTCCTTTCTTTCTTTCTTTCTTTCTTTCTTTCTTTCTTTCTTTCATCTTTCTTTCTATCTTTCTTACTTTCTTTCATCATTCTTTGTTTGTTTCTTTCCTTTCTGCTTTCCTTCCTTCATCGATCTTTCTTTCTTTTTCTTTCATCAATCTTTCTTTCTTTCTTTCTTTCTTTCTTTCTTTGCTTTTCTGTTTTATTCCATTATTTATTTTCCTTTCTTTCACTTTTTTCCATTCCTTTCGATTTTCCCGTTTCTTTCTTTTTTTCTTTCTTTATACTTCTTTTCTTCTTTCTTCTTTCATCTTTCTTCCTTTCTTCTTTCTTTCCTTCCTCTTTTTTTTTCTTTCTTTCTTTCTTTCTTTTTCTTTTTCTTTCTTTGCTTTTCTTTTTATTCCATTATTTATTTTTTCTTTCCTTTCGATTTTCCCGTTTCTTTCTTTTTTTTTTCTTTGTACTTCTTTGTTCCTTTCTTTTCTTTCTTTCTTTCATCTTTCTTTCTATCTTTCTTACTTTTCTTTCTTTGTTTGTTTTTTTCCGATTTTCCTTTTCTTTTTCATCAATTTTTTTTCTTTCTTTCTTTCTTTCTTTCTTTCTTTCTTTCTTTCTTTCTTTGCTTTTCTGTTTTATTCCATTATTTATTTTCCTTTCTTTCACTTTTTCCGTTCCTTTCGATTTTCCTGTCTCTTTCTTTTCTTTTCTTTCTTTTTTACTTTTTCTTCTTTTTCTTTCTTTCTTTCTTTCTTTCTTTCATCTTTCTTTCATTTTCTTTTCTTTTCTTTTCATCTTTCCTTCCTTCCTTCATCGATTTTCTTTCTTTTTTTTTCATCAATTTTCTTTTCTTTCTTTCTTTCTTTCTTTCTTTCTTTCTTTGCTTTTCTTTCTTATTTATTTTCCTTTCTTTCACTTTTTCCATTCCTTTCATCTTTCTTCCTTTTTTTTTCTTTCTTTCTTTCTTTCTTTCTTTCTTTCTTTTTTTTTCATCTTTCTTTCTATCTTTCTTTTTTCTTTCATTCTTTGTTTGTTCTTTTTCCAGTTCTTCCTTCATCCCTTTTCTTTCTTTTTCATCAATTTTCTTTCCTTTTTTCTTTCTTTCTTTTTTTTTTCTTTCTTTCTTTTCTTTTTTTTCTGTTTTTTATTCCATTTTTATTTTCCTTTCTTTCATTTTTTTTCCATTTTTCGATTTTCCGTTTCTTTCTTTTTTTTTCTTTTTGTATTCTTTTCTTCTTTCTTCCTTTCTTTCTTTCTTTCTTTCTTTCTTTCTTTCTTTCATCTTTCTTTCTATCTTTCTTACTTTCTTTCACCATTCTTTGTTTGTTTCTTTCCATCCTGCCTTTCTTCCTTCATCGATCTTTCTTTCTTTTTCTTTCATCAATCTTTCTTTCTTTCTTTCTTTCTTTCTTTCTTTCTTTCTTTCTTTCTTTTCTTTCTTTCTTTGCTTTTCTGTTTTATTCCATTTTTATTTTCCTTTCTTTCTCTTTCCTTTCTTCTTTTTATCATTCCTTTCTTCTTTCTTTCTTTCTTTCTTTCTTTCACCTTCCTTTCTTTCATCTTTCTTTGTTTGTTTCTTTCCTTTCTGCCTTTCTTCCTTCCTTCACCGATCTTTCTTTCTTTCTTTTTCTTTCATAGTTCTTTATTTCTTTATTTCATCTTTCCTTTTTTCTTTGTTTCGTTTTTCTATCATTTTTTGTTTCATTCTTCCCTTCTTCATTGAATTATTTCTTTGATAGTCTTTCTTTCTATCTTCCTTTCTTTAACCATTTATTCTTTTTTCTCTTTCCTTTCTTCAAACCTTTTCAGTTCCTTTCAATTTTCTATCTATGATTCTGCCTTTTCTCTTCTCTTCTCTTCTCTTTCTTTCTTTCTTTCTTTCTTTCTTTCTTTCTTTA